CCTGTTATATCCCACTGGATAGACTATGTATCCATGAATCTACATTGACAGAAATGGACATGTGAATAAATACATGGGACAAGACAGACTCTTCCTCAAACTAGAAAGCCAATCCATAAGCTTAAAAGGAGTGATGGAGTTAGAAAATTATCACCTGTCAATCATTACATCAATACTGAATTCAGGCAGGAAACATAGACGGATGCTAAAACTGTAAAATGAAAGGTGGATGAGAGGACAGCCTCCAAGCTCCTCCCCACAAAATGGTGATAAATTCCAAGAGGGACAAGAGTAACTTTACCACTGGACACTCTTAACCTTTTGGGACGAACTGACAACACGTGCTACCCGAAGGGAACGCGGTGAGGAAAGCCCAGCGCCACTTCTAGGATCGTCCCGCCCAAGTGCGTAAGCTTCACGCATCACGCAGACGGAAACGCCAGACGTTCGGCTGAGGGATCTTCCTCCAGGTAACCCAGGAGCTGCTCCAGATGGAAGGAAACTGGCGAGACATTAACAATAGCGGTAACACTAACAACGTGTGACCCTGGACCAGTTTCTTTTCCTTTAAAGGGCATTAAGTATTGAGACAGTTAGTGAAACCTGATCTCTGGGTGAAGCATATGGGATTTCCCTGTCCTATTTTTGCAATTTTTCTGCAAGTTTGAAGTCATTGAAAAAGAAAAAAAAAATCACCAACAGAGGAAAGCCAGGAAAGTGCCAGATTCATAGATTAGGAACAGGACAGAACATTCAAATAACCCTTTCTTTGTGCTAACTGGATGAAAGAAAAGCTACTAAATGAAAGGAGAAAAAAGGCTCACGTGGCTGTAAAACATCAATATGTCTTGTACAGGCCGTTAGTGAAAATATTTCAGCAAGTTACATTTGTGTTAATAAGCAAAAATATTAACAGAGATTGATCAGAACAGGAGGCAGCACTACTAAGGTCAGTGTGATTATTGCCCCTGACACGAACAACTACATGGTGAAAAGCAAGAATGTAAAGTGAAGAAATTGCCCGCAGTTCAAAATCCAATAAAAAATATGGTACTGAAAACACACACACACACACACGCACACATACACATATATCATATATATAGTACTGTGGGCCTAGAGCCCAAGGATATTGTCAGAATGGGCTTCAGACCTAAATTTTTACCGTCTGAAACATTTCTCTCTCTCTTTTTTTAAGAATCATCCTATTAAACCTTTTCAAATAAAGGATACACCTTTTAATAGCAAGTTTGTATTCATCATAAAGATGGGAGAGGCACACCATGCCCTTAGCTGAGTTAATCTGCAGGGAGGCAGGTCCTATTTTGGCATTGCATAGCAGACTGTAGAAACACTGCTCATGGCAAATTGATTTCATGTGGTCATGTGCGAGCATATCAGTCAAGATGCTTATGAACTGGCAACTTATGTCCCAACTTATGTTTGTAATTCTGTTAAAGTAAATGTATACATTCTCTCATATGGCTTTGACGGCGCTCTGAGCAGGAGGTAAGCGGTGATCGCTAGTCTGATTTTATAAATAAGGAAACCACATCTAAGCAAGATGAAGTGCCTTTCCCAAACTTGATACTTGTAAGTGGCAGAGCTTGGGTTCAACACAGATGCCCTATCTCTAAATGTGCTGCAGTTCCCATGACACCTGGCTCATTCAGAAGAACCACAAATCACCAGTAATCAATAACTCCATGATCTCAAACCATTGTTCATATTTTATCATGTACAGCTCAAAATGCTCATTCAATAATAGTATAAAGTACTCAGTTCTAAACACCAAAGTTTTATTGGGCATATCAAGTACTTAAAGCGTGTGTTAGTGATGGTGTCGCAGAAGCTGAAGTGCAGAATTTCCAACATCTCCACAAACATACTCCATCATATTTCTGACTAACAGCCATTCAGTTCAGATTGACATTGAATGGGTAGACAAAATTCATTGAATCCAACGAGGTTAGAGTTTGTAGCCTAGAATCTGTGACAGCAAGTCTGATTGTCTCTGGGCAGCCAGAAATCAAGATCAGCACTCATGAAATAAGTTCCAGACAGTTTACGAACAAATAACGTTCTTCAAAAAAAAGCACTTTCTAGAATGCTTAACTGATGCGGCATCAAACTTGCAAGATAATTTGGTGGATTTGCATCATGGTTTAAAAAAGGAACATCTAGTCAAGTCTACCTGTAATGATTTTCACGTTTTAAATAGGCATAAAGATATAAAGGGAGTGTCAGATGAGGTTATGTCACTAGTCTTTCAAAGTCAATAAATATTCCAGCAAAATTCATAGGCTTGCTCTCTTAAAAAAAATGGTGGTGAAGATGTGGATAAGAGACTATTATTTACTTAAAAGCTATTCATTCTAGATATTTATTGACTGTGTGCCAGGCACCGCAGTCTAAGTATGTCATTTTCTTATGTTACTAATGGAAATGAAGTTTTGGTTAACATACCAGTGGCAATACCAAGCATACCTGAGCATACTTGAAAGCACAAATATTAGTTGGCTTAGAACATTTTTTAGATCAACTCAGGCACTTTCTGAGGTATTCATGGCAAACGTCATAGATACAATTGTCTCCGATAATTACATCAGCATTTAAGTGTCATCAAAGCTTAGAGATATTATAGAAAATGAGCTTATTGTGCTTGGAAAAAAGAAAGTGGGCCCAGTAGATGGAGAAGTGGAGGCTGAAAGTGCAGGAGGGAGGTAATGCATAGCAAAGTGAAAGCAGCAAGAAGACCCAGAGAAACAGAGAGCTACATCATGTCCGCCTGATCACACCACTTGTTTGCTCAAAACCCTTCAAATGCAGAGAACACTGTTGGTTTACTCCCCGATAACCATTATTCTTCGCTTTCTTCCTGGCAGATAGAAGCCACTTCCCGTCACAAAGGATGAAAATAAGTTACTCCCTGTCCCAGCATTCAGTGCAGTGAGGGTTCCCATGTGATCTGGCTCTGGCCAATAAGAAGCGTGAGTTCTGCTAGAGGCTTCTGGGAAAGATTCTCTCCCTGATAACGCAAACTCTGCCTACCTTTCCCAGGCCATTGAACACAACTCCGCAAGGATGGGATGTTTGGTATTGTTGTAGCTGTTTGGCGACTTTAAGGGGAGATACCCGGACCACAGGAAGCATTACGCATATTGAGAATGGCAGAGTGAAAGAGGAACCGATCCAGTGGTCACTTCTCATTTTGTGAAATTTTAGTAAGTTTTCCTTGTTTACTTACTGAAGTTCAATTTCAGTTAAGTTTTTTTTATTACTACTTGTGTCTGAAAACATTCTGACTACATTTTATTACTGCCTTAGGATAAGATCAAAATACTTTCTATAATTTATAAACATCCTAAATTATTTATTACTAAAGCATCATTGATATACAATCTTTTGTTGGTTTCAAATATACAACAAAGTGGTTCATATTATTAAAACCCATATTATTAAATCCTCATTCCCTCCAGTGTGATCAATATTTGTCAGTGTAGTTAGATGTTACAGAATCATTAACTGTATTCTCCGTGTTGTACGACCATCCCATGACCAGGTTATATTGTGATTGCAAATTATTGTGTCCCTTTATCCCCTTCTCTGTCCCCCCAACCCTCCTCAACCCTTTCTCCTTGTTAACCACTAGTCTCTTCTCGGTGTCAATGAGTCTACTGCTGTTTTGTTCCTTCTGTTTTGCTTTGTTTTTATACTCCACAAATGAGTGAAGTCATTTGGTACTTGTCTTTTTTGGCCTACCTTATTTCACTGAGCATAATACCCTCTAGCTCCATCCATGTTGTTGCAAATGGAAAGATTTCTTTTTATGGCTGAATAATACTCCATTGTGTATATGTACCACATCTTTACCCATTCATTTACTGATGGACACTTAGGTTGCTTCCATCTTGGCTTTTGCAAATAGTGCAGTGATAAACATAGGAGTGCATGCCTTTTTGAATCAGGAATTTTGTTTTTTTCAGGGAAATTCCTAGGAGTGGGATTACTGGATCTAATGGTATCTTTATTTTTAGTTTTTTGAGGACCTCCATACTGCTTTCCACAATGGATGAACTAATTTACATTCCCATCAGCAGTGTAGGAGGGTTCCCCTTTCTGTGCTTCGTTGCCAGCATTTGTTATTTCTTGTCTTTTAGATGTTGGCCATCCTGACTGGTGTGAGGTGATATCTCATTGTGGTTTTAATTTTCATTTGCCTGATAATTAGCGATATGGAGCCTCTTTTCATGTGTCTATTGGCCATTTGTATTTCTTCTTTGGAGAAGTGTCTGTTCAGGTCCTCAGCCTATTTTTTAATTGGGTTATTTGTTTTTTGGGTGTTGAGGTATATGAGCTCTTTATATATTTTGGATGTTAACCCCTTATCAAATGAGACATTTATGAATATATTCTCCCATACTATAGGATGCCTTTTTGTTCTGCTGATGGTGTCCTTCACTTATAGAGAAGCTTTTTAGTTTGATGTTGTCTCACTTGTTCATTTTTTATTTTGTTTCCCTTGCCTGAGATTTGTCCAGAAAAAGATGCTCATGCTTACATTCAAGAGATTTAAGGTCCTCAATTCTTTTATTATATTTTTATTTTTTCATTAAGGTATTATTGATATACACTCTTATGAAGGTTTCACGTGAAAAAACAATGTGGTTACTACATTTACCCGTATTATCAAGTCCCCCCCATACCCCATTACAGTCACTGTCCATCAGTGTAGTAAGATGCCCCAGATCCACTGTGTGCCTTCTCTGTGCTACACTGTCTTCCCCGTGACCCCACACACCATGTGTACTAAACATAATACCCCTCAATCCCCTTCTCCCTCCCTTCCCACCCACCCTCCCTCACCCCTCCCCTTTGGAAATGGCTAGTCCCTTCTTGGAGTCTGTGAGTCTGCTGCTGTTTTGTTCTAAAGGTCCTAAATTCCTAATAGTCTGCCCCCATTCCCCCACCTTTATTTCTCTAAACTAATTTCTCACCACTTTCTGCATTATTCAGGCTTTTTTTTGTTTTTTTTTTTCAGTTTTCTAACCCAAAAGCCCTCTCTCTTCCCTTCAGGCTAGTTTCTAATGGAATGCTCTCTACTCCTACCACTCTGACTTTAACTGGCCACTACTGGTCATCCTTTAGGACTCAGTGACATGTCACATCCTCCTAGAAGCTTCTACTGACCACCCAGAGTATGTATGTGCCACAGGTGAAGTCCCTAGAAATTTGAACTTCCCCAGTTATAGCTTATATTCCACATTATTGCAGCTGCATACCAAACCGTTCAGCCCTGAAAATTGGGTTTGTGTCTCTCTTGTTCATTATTGTATCCTAAGAACCTACATGGTACCTAGCAGTCAAATCTGTGGAACACATGAATGAGTTGTAGGATATTGGAAACAAAAATTCAAAGATCAGTTGTAAAAACATCTCATTAGCAAAATGCACAAAGGCATGAGAGGCTACTTCCAAATGGTTATAAACATGAAAAAATGGTCAGGCCCTGTAATAATCAAGAAATACAAATTAAAAGAATAGTATTTTTCACCAACAAATTGGCAGGACGAATTTCTTGACCATGTCAGTAGTGTTGTAATGAAGTGGGCACTCACATCACTGGAGTAAAAATTATATAAACTTTCTAACCATAAACATTAACACTTATGTCTGCCTACCATGTAACCTAGTGACTTCATGAGGATGCTAAGGATATAATCAAATAATGTACAAAGATGTTTGTACATGGATGCTTACCACTGCACTGTTTTATATTAAGAAACCAGAAACAGTACAAAAATCCACCCATATAGAACTTGTGCACACACAGTGGAATTCTACAAAGTGTTAAAAAAGATAAGACGGAAATCCTACATGTCTTGGTAGGCATAAATGTTCATAATACGTGTTTACTGAAAAAGCAAATATGAAGTATTAGTACATCATCATGCTATTTAAAATACATGTTAAAAATTAATTAAAAAGCAAATGTAAAACAACCCAATTAATAAGTGGTTGGTACAAACTTTTCAAAGAACATCTTGGACCTATTTGAATATATCCAGCCACTACTTTTAAACCTTTCAATCAGAGAAGTTTCCATCAAACTTTGCAAAAATTAATTATACTCAAAAAAGGCACAAATTTGAAAGTGGGTCACTTAAGGTAAACATTAATTTTTATGATTATCAGGACCCTTAAATTTTCACACACACAGAAAAGACCTAGTTGTGTGACTTCTCAGCCACTGATGCTTATCTTACCTAATTAGTAATGTCTTTTGACTCTTAAAAATTTATTTTATACCTAAGTTGATTTGAAGTCTTTTTTCACATGAAGAGAAATAAACTCTTAAGGAAAATGTTTTTCTTTTTCCTGTTGGATACTCCTAAAGTGAGGGGAGAACATTTTAAATGTTCATTTAATAATAAAATGTGGGGAGGGGGTCAGGAGAGGACTCTGGGTACCAACCACTTTCCTTTCAATCAGTCCTCTGCGTTATAGCCCTTTTCATCCTCACTTCCGAGGTGCCAGCTCCTCTAGGGGCTTGAGTCTCTTGGGGACTCTTTAGCATAAGATTGCCTATTAGCCTGCTCCATCGGGCTGAGGATTTAGTTCTCTGAGTATGTGTCTCCATGCTTTGCAGCTTCCCAAACTATGCTGCCACTCCTTTTCTTCATTCTCTTCATCCTTGTTAGTTTATGTCTTAAAATAATGATGGTAACAACAAATCCTTTCTGTGTTTTAAGTAGAGGTTCTGGAACAGAGTGGATAGAATGGTGTATGTTTAACCTGCCATATGCAAACAATAAAATGTGACCATCTATGTGACATTTGTAGCGCAGTCCCCTCCCTGGGCTGTGCTGTCAGCTGCTTTTATTTTTATTCATGTGCTGCTCTTAGGTCTGGCTGTTTGGTCTCTCTTTTCTGGCAAGTCTTTCTCCTTGTCCTGTGTAAGCATAGATATTTCCTAGATTCTCTTCTCTGACCTGTTGTTTAAGCTCACCTGTGATTTCAGTTCAGACGGAACCCAAATATATGTATTACCTGCTATCTCTTTTGAAATACAGAGCCATTTCTCAACGATCAGTGTGATCTGACATGAGCAAACCTCATAATATGCTGATACAGAACTCCTTATCTGTCTATACAATGAGGTCTCCTCTGACATCTGTTTGTTTCTTTCTTTTTGGAGTTGGCATCTCCAAATCTTTGAAAACTTGAAATCTGGCTGTTAGGTCAGATGCCTTATTTCCCCTTATCCCTACAGTCAATCATTTGTCAAACCACGTAGCTTCCCTGTGGAAAGGGCTTCCATTTCCTCCTCTTTTTACTACTTGCCTGTGGGCCTTTTGGTGTCACTGTCCCCATTGCCTTTGTCCCCTTGCTCAAATCTACTTCACTAGCCACTGAAGAATTCCATGTAAAGAGTGGTTCCTAATAAGAACTAAATATATCAGCCTTACCTCCTCTCACTCGGAGTTTCTCCACATTCTAGACAAGTTAGACAGCACAAAAAATGTAATTTAGCGTTTGACCTTTGATTGCTTATAAGTAACTCTCCAAAAGGCCAGAGACATTGCCAGTTTATTACTTTCCTGAAGCACAAATTCAAAGTAATTATGCTAAAAAGTTGGTGATGGGAAAAGTCACTTAATTTTGAGTGTGCCTCGCCGACTGCCCCACAGCCACACCTCAGCCTTTCTTTGTTGTTTTCACACTTATCATCACGTACCCAGCAATGTATTTAGTAAGGTTCTGAAGGGGCCACATATATTTTTCCACTTTATGTTCTTCTAGAAGGAAAAGTATAAGCAAGAAAGTGGCATTTGTGATTTTTGTTGTTTTATAGCTCTAATGCTTGTGTCAAGAGTTACTATAATTATGTATATCCTTGCACATGCGTTCTGGTTTCCAGAGCCTTGCTTCCACTGTTCCCTCTCTCAGGGTTTTCATTAAATATTGCTACATAAGCAACTATCCCAAAACCTAGTCACTTAAAACAATAATCATTTATTTTCTCACAGGTGTATCGGCAGTTTGGGTAGCATCCTGAGACAACAGCTTGTCTCTGCTCCATGCCGTATCAGCTGGAGAAGCTCGTTATAGAAGATCTACTTCGGAGGCAGCTTACTCACAAGGCTGGTTGCTGGCTCTGGCTGTTGTGAGGAGCTCAGACGAAGCTGTGAGTGGTGGTGGTGTTGGGGAACGGCCAGGGCTTGAATTTCCTCCATGTGAACCACTCTAGGTGATTGCTCTGGCTTTCTCATTACATGGAAGCTGGGTTGCAAAAGGGAAGAAATAGAAGCTGCCAGAATTTTTTAGTGCCTGGACTCAGAATTCCCAGGATGTTATTTCCTCTGCACTCTATTGGTCAAAACAGAAACAGGCCCAGCTTAGAGTCAAGGGATGGCACATAAGCTCCAACTCATGATGACAGGAGCAACATGCATGTACAGCAGTGAAGTCCACTGGGGCTGTGTTTGAAGACCAGCAGTCACCATCTACCATACAGCCTTTTCTAATGAAAAATACACTTGTTTCCTCTCCTAAGGTACCAAAATATCTCATCCCATTAAATATCAATTCAGTCTAGGACAGCAGTGAACAAACCACAGTGTAAGGGCCAAATCCAACCTGTGGTCTATTTTTGTTAAGTCCCTGAGATATGAATGGTTTTTATATTCTCACAGGTTATAAAAAACAAAGAAGAATATGTGGCAGAGATCACACATGACCTGCAAAGCCTAAAATATTTACTATCTGGCCCTGTACAGAACAAGTGCCCCAACCCCTGGCCTTGGGGTATTGACATCTAAGTCAGACTCAAGAGCAGATGTGGCTCCGGGTTCAGTGTCTTGGCTTAATGGCTCCTCGACATGGTTCCTCCTGATCCGAAGACCTGAGAACTAAAGACAAGGTATGGTCATTCATATATCCAACATCTAGTGGTAAGGTAGTGACAGGAAACCAGTACTAGACTCTCTCATTCAAAAGGGGAGAAGACAAGAGGGACATGGAAAGTGATCCATAGCAACTCTGAAATCCAACTAGTCAAATGGTATCAGTCCTTTAATTTGACCCACTCCCACTCTTTGGAAATGATTCTCAGTGGTGCTTTGTGCCATCTAGAGTCATCTTCCTGTTTGGAAAGAGTGCATAATTTTGGACAAGTAGCTTCCTCAGCTTGCTTCCTGCCTGTAAAAGTTGAAGGTTCAGAGGCCTTTTCATTATCAAGAGTGTCTATTTCAGGGTAAGCTAATGGAGAGCTTTAAAAAGCCACAGGTTTCTTACACTTCAAGTTGTAATCATCTCCCTCAGGCAAAAACCATACATCTCTCCAAGGCAGGCCCTTCTCTACCTTCAGCCAGTGTGAGATTGTTGTGGGGTAACACCAGATTCTTAGGAGCCCTTCTGTCTGGTTGGACGGATCGATGAGGTACCACCTTGGATCGTTCTGAGGTATCAACTTACCTGTTTCTGCAAACAAGATACCCCAAAACGTAATGGCTTAAAACAATCTGTCATTACCTCACAGCCTGTTGGTTAGGACTCCGCGGCTCTGCTTAGCTGGGTCCCTCTGCCTCATGGTCTCTCGAAGGCTGCAAACAAGGTGTCAGCCGGGCTGTGGTCTAGTTTCAGTCAGCTCAGGCCGCCGTAACGGAATATCCTAACTGGGTGCTGAAACAACAGACATGCACGTCTCACAGCTCTGGAGGTGGGGAAGTCCAAAGTCAAGGAGCTGGTCGGTTCGCCCTCTCCCTCTGTCCCCATGTGGCAGAGAGAAGATGCTGTTTCTTTATGTTCTTAAAGGGCACTACTCCCATCATGGATTGAGATGACCTCATCTAAACCTGTCACCTCCACAAGCCCTTATATAATCACCTTGGGGACTGGGAACTCATAATATGAATTTTGGGAGGATATAAATCTTCAGTCCATAAGAAGTCTACTGTAAGGCTGCACTTAGGGAAGGTCTGCTTCGCAGCTTACTTACACGGTTGTTGGCAGGATGGTGGTAGTATCAGTTCGCTGCGGGTTGTTGGACTGAAAGGCCCCAGGTCCTTGCTGGCTCTTGGATGGAAGCCTCCACTGTCCCTTGCCACACAGGTCTCTCTATAGGGCGGCTCACACCATAGCAGCTGGCTTCTGTCAAAGGCAGCATGTGAGAGAGCAAAGAGGGGGAGCCACAGTCCCTTTGCACTCTCATCTCGGAGGTGATACCCATCACCTTAGCCATGTGCTGTTCGTTGAGAGCAAGTTACTAGGCCCAGCTCATACTCAAGGGGACCGGACTACAAAGGACTTGAATACCAGCAGGTGGGGATCATTGGGGCCATTGTACACGCTGCCTACCACAGGGTCTTCTAGCTTCACCTTGGTCTTGAACTTCACAGAAGGTCTTGAACTTTCCTGAGAGCACTCTGAATTTGACCTTTGTCCACAAGCCATGTCTCATTTTGAGAGTTTTGTCCTCTGGAGAAGCTAGGAAAGAGAGCTAGTTTTATTTCAAATCCAGCAAGTCCTGGCTTATGTTTCCTCTAAATGCTGATCAGAAATGGAACAGTTCCTTTTTCGGCTCATCTCATTTTTCTTGTACTATATCATAAGCCTCTAAAAGTAACCATTCAACCCTTTCAACATTCTAACCAAGTATCTGCTTAGCCAGATCCACATGTTCATTGGGTATCATTTCTGTCTTTCATGTACTAGCAGGCTAGTTTAGCTAATTGCTCTTCCAGTACAGAAATGGAGTCCCCCTTCTCCAGCCCACTAACAATGCTGTCCCTGTCCTTTAATAATGCTCTTCACTAACAGACTTCTCAGATTTGCCCAGCTTCCATCCTCCACCTGATCCCAAAGCCATTGCCACATGTTTTAGGTTTCTGGGGCAGCAGGACCTCACTTCTAGGCATGCAATTATGATTCAGTTATCTATTGCTATATAGCAAACCACCCTAAAACAGTGTTTAAAAATCACGGCATTCACTTTTTTGCTAACAATTTTGCAATTTGGGCAAGACTCAGGAAGACAGCTCATCTCTCTTCCCTGTGGCGTCAGCTGGGGCAGCTCAACTATCCTCCTGATCCGAAGACCTGAGAACTAAAGACAAGGTATGGTCATTCATATATCCAACATCTAGTGGTAAGGTAGTGACAGGAAACCAGTACTAGACTCTCTCATTCAAAAGGGGAGAAGACAAGAGGGACATGGAAAGTGATCCATAGCAACTCTGAAATCCAACTAGTCAAATGGTATCAGTCCTTTAATTTGACCCACTCCCACTCTTTGGAAATGATTCTCAGTGGTGCTTTGTGCCATCTAGAGTCATCTTCCTGTTTGGAAAGAGTGCATAATTTTGGACAAGTAGCTTCCTCAGCTTGCTTCCTGCCTGTAAAAGTTGAAGGTTCAGAGGCCTTTTCATTATCAAGAGTGTCTATTTCAGGGTAAGCTAATGGAGAGCTTTAAAAAGCCACAGGTTTCTTACACTTCAAGTTGTAATCATCTCCCTCAGGCAAAAACCATACATCTCTCCAAGGCAGGCCCTTCTCTACCTTCAGCCAGTGTGAGATTGTTGTGGGGTAACACCAGATTCTTAGGAGCCCTTCTGTCTGGTTGGACGGATCGATGAGGTACCACCTTGGATCGTTCTGAGGTATCAACTTACCTGTTTCTGCAAACAAGATACCCCAAAACGTAATGGCTTAAAACAATCTGTCATTACCTCACAGCCTGTTGGTTAGGACTCCGCGGCTCTGCTTAGCTGGGTCCCTCTGCCTCATGGTCTCTCGAAGGCTGCAAACAAGGTGTCAGCCGGGCTGTGGTCTAGTTTCAGTCAGCTCAGGCCGCCGTAACGGAATATCCTAACTGGGTGCTGAAACAACAGACATGCACGTCTCACAGCTCTGGAGGTGGGGAAGTCCAAAGTCAAGGAGCTGGTCGGTTCGCCCTCTCCCTCTGTCCCCATGTGGCAGAGAGAAGATGCTGTTTCTTTATGTTCTTAAAGGGCACTACTCCCATCATGGATTGAGATGACCTCATCTAAACCTGTCACCTCCACAAGCCCTTATATAATCACCTTGGGGACTGGGAACTCATAATATGAATTTTGGGAGGATATAAATCTTCAGTCCATAAGAAGTCTACTGTAAGGCTGCACTTAGGGAAGGTCTGCTTCGCAGCTTACTTACACGGTTGTTGGCAGGATGGTGGTTGTATCAGTTCGCTGCGGGTTGTTGGACTGAAAGGCCCCAGGTCCTTGCTGGCTCTTGGATGGAAGCCTCCACTGTCCCTTGCCACACAGGTCTCTCTATAGGGCGGCTCACACCATAGCAGCTGGCTTCTGTCAAAGGCAGCATGTGAGAGAGCAAAGAGGGGGAGCCACAGTCCCTTTGCACTCTCATCTCGGAGGTGATACCCATCACCTTAGCCATGTGCTGTTCGTTGAGAGCAAGTTACTAGGCCCAGCTCATACTCAAGGGGACCGGACTACAAAGGACTTGAATACCAGCAGGTGGGGATCATTGGGGCCATTGTACACGCTGCCTACCACAGGGTCTTCTAGCTTCACCTTGGTCTTGAACTTCACAGAAGGTCTTGAACTTTCCTGAGAGCACTCTGAATTTGACCTTTGTCCACAAGCCATGTCTCATTTTGAGAGTTTTGTCCTCTGGAGAAGCTAGGAAAGAGAGCTAGTTTTATTTCAAATCCAGCAAGTCCTGGCTTATGTTTCCTCTAAATGCTGATCAGAAATGGAACAGTTCCTTTTTCGGCTCATCTCATTTTTCTTGTACTATATCATAAGCCTCTAAAAGTAACCATTCAACCCTTTCAACATTCTAACCAAGTATCTGCTTAGCCAGATCCACATGTTCATTGGGTATCATTTCTGTCTTTCATGTACTAGCAGGCTAGTTTAGCTAATTGCTCTTCCAGTACAGAAATGGAGTCCCCCTTCTCCAGCCCACTAACAATGCTGTCCCTGTCCTTTAATAATGCTCTTCACTAACAGACTTCTCAGATTTGCCCAGCTTCCATCCTCCACCTGATCCCAAAGCCATTGCCACATGTTTTAGTTTTCTGGGGCAGCAGGACCTCACTTCTAGGCATGCAATTATGATTCAGTTATCTATTGCTATATAGCAAACCACCCTAAAACAGTGTTTAAAAATCACGGCATTCACTTTTTTGCTAACAATTTTGCAATTTGGGCAAGACTCAGGAAGACAGCTCATCTCTCTTCCCTGTGGCGTCAGCTGGGGCAGCTCAACTAGGGCTGGAGTGCCCACCTCCCAGATCACTCACTCCCAGGCTGGCAATCAGTGCCGGCTGTCTGCTGAGAGCGCAGCTGGGGCGGTAAGCTGAGGCTTTAATTCTCCTCCACGTGGGCCTCTCCACGCGGCTGCATGGGCTTCCACAGATGATGAGAGAAGAGTGATGGGCTCTCAGAACTACGCAGGAGGCAAAAATCAGGAGGTTGTTGCAGAACAACATGAATATACTTCACACTACTGACTGTACACTTAAAAGGGGTTAAGATGGTAAATACTAGGTTGTGGGCTTTGTATCCACAATTAAAAACTAATAAAGTCCGCAGGAGCTGATGATGGCTTAGGGCTGGGTGGAGTTGGGGCAAGGGAGGCAGAAGTATCAAGGATGACAGAAAGCATTAAAACGTAGCTTCTGGCCTCAAGAGCTTTTTTTGGTCCAGTAGAGGGGGCAGAAGAATTAACAGACACTCACAACACATGTGGTAGATACTGTAGCTTTCTGCTGCAGTGCCAACATAAGGTACAAAGCCCATGCCTCGCAAATTGCCTCAAAATAGATTGTTAATGTCTGCAATTCCCAGAGACAAACATTTAAGACATAATTACAGGTTTGAATTTCTTAAAGCGAGCCTGAAAATGAACACTGCCAGAGAATACAGAGATGAGCAATAAAAACTACAGGTGCACACATTTCTCTTTCAATCTAGCATGTAACCTTGTGGGCCAGAAGCAATGCAGGAAAGAGGTGGGCAGGGGAGAAAGCAGATGTTTGTTGGTCATTAGCCCTATATTTCTAGGATATCAAATCCCTTTGTTGTCTTATAATTCTTAGTGTATCTGGAAACTATTGCTACTGAGATGTCACTCTTGAAACTTTTTCTTTGAAATAGTGAACAGGTCATAAAGAGCACTTATATCCTGATGACTACACATCCTCTGCTCCTCCCCACCCACCAAGATACACAGTAAAAAACTCTTTCCCCTCACTCACAGTTTTAATAATAGCCAAAGTCTATTTACAGATTTTCGTGGGGTTTTGTTGGTAATACATGGCACTCTTGTTCTTCCATTAAGTCTACACTATTTTTTGTGGAGAGGACAGAAAACAGCAGTCCCTCCATCCTCGCTACACTTTTCTGAAAACACCCTGCATTTCATGCTCACCACTGACTGTATGTTTCGCTTCCCTGTCAGCTGACTGATGTGCCCACTAACTGGCTGAGAGGTGGCCTTGTCTGAGTGGTGTGACTTTATTTTTCATTTTTTGAAATCTCATCAGTTGTCCCCTTCTGCACAGGTTCCCTATCTAGGGTCTCACCCCTGCAGACTGATGCGCGTGGAGATCATCACCACTGTGTACTTGCCCAGGGTCCTTGTGGTGCCGAGGTTCCTATAAGGATCTAATGGCATTCAAGTCCCAGAATCGGTGACTGATGAGATTTAGTGTGTTCATTCATTTAAAAATAGCATGCCTACTATGTGTTAGGCACTGCCTAGATGTTGGGAACACAGCAACAAATAAGCCAGATAAGGATCCTCTTGTGGACCTTATTGTTTTTTGATCCCAGAGGTTTTTGACTTTTAACAATGGACAAAGTGCCGGCTTGGCTGAAAGACAAAGGAATCAGGTTCTACATTTGGGATTAAGCCACATTTCCGGGGTGGGGGTAGAGGTAGGGGAGGTTGTCCCAGCATCCTGGGACCACACCATCTTCCACCTACTCCTAAGTGGACTATGGAAATGGAATCATCAGTGACTAGATCCATTGTCGTTTTTCTTGGGCCTTTGCCAGGCTCCAGCAAGACAAAGCCTTTCTGTGGAGTGTACTCAGTGATAGGAAAGGCCAGGGAGGGCAAAGTACTGGAATTACTGGTTAGAGAAGGGGCCTACGACCACCACTCAGCCATTGCTCAGGAAGACATTGCCCCCTCGTGGTTCCTCATACAACCCGGAGGGGAACGGGCTGTCCGAGTTCCCAGATTAACTCTTGTCCTTGCCTCTTCTGAACTTCAATGGCAGTTTCAACAGATTCGTGGTTTATTTTCATCCAGGACACACCTTTTTCCCTTCTAGAGAGAACTGACATCATGACCCCAAATAAATCTCTTCATCAAAATCTTTGGACTCTCCCCACCCTCCCAAGAAACCCAATTTGTAAATCCAGGTATCACTACTGTTTTTCTCTAAACAGTACTATTAAAGTCAACGCCCTCCTTGCTTTCTACAAATTGAAAAAGGATCTGCGATAATGTTGCCCTGGAGTTGGTCTGGGTATCTAAATTCCCAAAAAGCAGGGCCTTATCTTCATTTCCCACCGCCATCCCACCCCATTCCCAGAGAATAAACCAGTAGAGGCTGAAGACTGCCTGGCGGGGAGGGGGAATGATAAACAAGAGAAACGAGCAAATAAATAATGAGGAGTTGGGAATGGAAAGGAAGCGCATGCTGGGAGAGAATTCCTGGGAGTGGGAGCGAGGGAGAACCTCCTAACCTTTGGGGTTTTAAATTTATACGTTTGTATGATGCAGTGTTGAAAAAACTACAGCCCAGGGGAAAAAATGGTCGTTTCCTTAATTATAACGCCAACTTCCACGTATTGTAAACTTAACCTGGGCAGGAGTGGGTGCCAGGTGCTATCGCTCTATCAACCTATCGTCTCCTCTAATAGTGACCCCCTGTGAGGCAACACAACTGCTTCCATCTCACAGCTGAGGAAACAAACCACTCAGCCTCTCCGAGGCTGGGGCATAAACAAGCGTGGCACGCCGACCCGCGCAATTGCCGAGTCCCAGTCTTTTGTAAGCCACCGTGGCGTCGGAAGTCACCTAGGCAACAGATATTTATTGAGTGCCTACTATATGCCAGGTAGCGTATTCAAATAGCTGTGGGATTAAAGGTAAATTGCGCACAGTTCGGTCTTCTAGAAAGATCTCCCCGAAGAGTACGGGGCACAGCTAGGTTAACAAACAGGTCCAGAACCGCCTGAGTAGGGACCACGAGCAACCTCGTGCGCGCAGCGGCCGGGGCGGGGAGGCTGAGGGTTCGGAGAACCCGGCGCTGGAAACGCCGGCCCCGAGAGGGCTGCCCCCGTAAGTCACTCGAACTGTCGCATCCTGTCATTTCAAGCTGCCAACAAGGAAGCGAAGAAATAGGTCTAAACCGGTACTGAAAAGGCGGCGTAGGCTTAGGGAGAGGGGTGCGGATCCTTAGCGAAAAGCAAGCAAACAAGAGTGGCGCATCACACTTCCCGGCGTCGTGCTGGCCGGGCCGGGGTCCCCGAAGCCCCTGTCCAGACTCGCGCGCACCGCCACGAGAGTCCGCCGGCTCGGGGCCCACCCAGGGGGAGGGCCTGCCCTTCCCCGCCTCGGCCCTCGCCCCCGACCTACCGCCGCGCCGGGGCTGGGGTCGCCGCTTCCGCCGGGGCCCGCGGCCCCTCCCCGGCGCGCCATCCGGCCGCGGGGCAGCCCCTCCTCCCGCGGGGGCGCCGCCGCCCCGGGCCGCGTCCCTCCGGGCGCCGCCGGCAGCCCACGTCCAGGGAGGGCGGAGGAGGAGGAGGAGGAGTAGAGGGGCGGGCGGGAGGGAGGAAGGCAGCGAGGGAGAGGGGGCCGCGGATCCCGTGCTTCCCAGAGCTGCCTGCAGCGCGCGCTCAGCGGCTCCCCGGTCCCCGCAGCGGCCCGCGCCCCGCGCCGCCCCCCGCCTCCCCCTGCTCTCGGGGCGCCTCGCCCCCTCCCCCAGTGGCCGCTTGGCTCGGGCAGCGGCCGCCCCGGCCCCAGCTGCGGGCTCACTCCCGGGACGCGCGCCCTCGCCCCGGCCTCTCTCTCCCTTCCTGCCTGCCTCCCCTCGCGCCCGCCCTCTCCAGGTCTCCCTCCCGGGCCCCGGCCGGCTGCGTCCCTGCCCGGCCTCTCTCGGACTTCCTGGGTCGCCCGCCGCCGCGGGACCCGAGCGGCCGCTGCCCCGGCTCCAGCCCCCGCAGCCTGGGGAGCCCCGGCGCCCGGGGAGGGAACAGCGGGCGAGCGCGCCCTCGCCCAGCCCCGCGCCCAGCCCTGCCGGCGAGGAAGGACCGGGAAGATGAACAACGGCGGCAAAGCCGAGAAGGAGAACAGCCCGAGCGAGGCCAACCTTCAGGAGGAAGAGGTACGGAGTGGCTGGGCGCGACCGGCGGGCGCGGGGCTGGCGGAGGGGGTGCCGCGCTCGGGGCTGGGGACTGCTCCTGTCCGGGACGCACCCGGGCCGGGGAGGGGGATCTTCCGAGAGAGCGTGTTTCTGGGGGTTCCCGCGCGTCCTGTGCCTAACATTGCGTAACTTTGAGGACTTCTCGGAGACTTTTGTAAGTATAATGCTCAGCTTTGTTTGCTTGGGATTTTAAAAGCGGAATCGAGTGCTGCCTCCTGGATGACCTCGGTTTACTGGGAACCGGAGGGCGAGGATTTAGTTCTGCGTCTGGGGCTGGAAGTTATGGGGTGTGTTGTGTTTAGTTTAAGGAAGAAACTCGGGGAAAGTTCTCGTTACAAGACACCTTCGGTTCCCTGCCCCCTCCCTAACAACGTTAAAAGTTCTTGGTGAAATATCTTCCCAGCTGGGTCATTTTGGATTAATAGATAACTCATCAGCTGCATTCTTCTCTGATGAGTCAGAGACCCCGACCCTGAATAATTAGGTTTTGTAAATTTAGGGGGCGATGCAGTCGTGGGGAGCAGAACAAAAAAAGTTTAAAACTTTACAATTCCCCAAGTGATCATCGAGGCTGTTTTAAGAGGGCTTTGACTTCTGAGCGTGCATTTTTCGGTGGTGCGTCGGTAATGAGGATAAAAGCGTTGCGGCTGCAGAGCGTTCCTTTGGTAGAAATAAAATTAAGTAAACGTAGGAGGGGACTCCTGACCAGACGGTTCAGAATAGCGTAGTTAGGATATTTGTGGTATCCTAGTCAGTGGCTCTGTTGCTGCAGGTACACAGAGTCCAAGGAACAATACTTCCCGCTTGCTTCTTAGGCTGCCACAAAGCTGGTCCTTAAACTTTCTCAAAGGAACTTGAGTGTGTGTAGATGCAAGAAAGTGTGTGCATCGCGATGTGACTTATAAAGCACTCTTATAGGTATTGCGTCCTAATCAGTAAGGTTAACAGAGTGGTAAACTGATTCTAAAGCAGTTAGAATGTTGAGATTATTGTTGAGATACTTTTTGTGGGCACACTAAAATTCTGATAGTGAAACCAAACGTTGCGGAGAACATAATTAATACGTATAAGTTCTCAACCCATTGTCCACTCATAAAAAGGAAACTAAATGGAAACGATAGAGACCTAAGACCATGCAAAACTATGCAAAATACAAGATTTTACTCTTAAAGTTGTATGGCAATGCAACCTGGGTGAATTGCAGTGAGCCAAAAATTACCTTCTCACCTGAGAAAACTGCCTGTTTTATTAATAGTTTGAAAAGTGTTTGCATGCTAGTTTTTTCCTTTTAACTACAAGTGTAGAAACAGTGGCATTCCTTTTGCAAAGAGATGGAGGCTTGAATTTCAAGTTCCACTTTTTTCTTGAAACTTGCTGCTTTGCTGTTTAATTTCCCTACCATTGAAATTAAAAATTAAAAAATGACAGCTTTACTTTTTTAAAGAAACCGTTACATTTAAATAATTGTCCTAACACACCAAGGTAATAATTGTTTTAGAAAACCTTTGTATTTCACTTAGATTGACAATATCTTTAATAAACGTAATAATAATATTGTACAAAATAATTTTTCTCCCTCTCAATTGAGAACACTTGCAAATGGAAAAAGTTAATCAGGCAAACCACTTTTTTTCTTTTTTCTTTTTCTCTTTTTGACTTTATAGGTATCAAAAGAGCTTTGAGTGTCCCTAAACCATAACCTACTTAATAAAAGCAGAGAGAGATTTTTCTGCTTGACCTATCTCAGCCTAACTGTTGTTAGGACTAAAGGTGTTGTCTGCCTGGTTCCTGGGCTCCTTGACTTAATGTGCAAGTAAAGTCACAGGCTGTCGCAGAACAGCACTGCCTCTTACCTGTCCCTTTTGCCCTGACACTATTGTTCCAGATTTTCAGCTGGGAATGGCATATGGTTCTAGGAAGTGTCAGTTGTTTTAGACACTTGGTATTTTGAAAAACAAGAGGACAGGAAGATTTCAGGACCCAGGTTGTATAACAGGTGAAATGTACAAAACAAACACACCATGAAGAGACAGGTTTTTATAATATTTAAAGTTCAGGAAAAGAAAGTAAGTTGGCCTGAATGCTCCAGGTAATTCTGCCCCAATTCCCTGTTTTGAGTTAGTTTTGTTTTTGAAAAATTCCTAACCTCTTTTTTCTAACCCCGAAAGCCACAAGTAAAATAAATGTGGTATTTGGTGAGCTCTGTTAATGTGCCCAGCGTTATACAAAACCACCTCACTGGACGCTTTCCCTGCCCACCCAGCGATCAGCAGTTTGCTCTCAAATACATTTAAAAGTTTTTCCCGAGGACTCCAATAAACTGAACAGACACATGTAAAACGCATATATATATAAAATGAGAGGAAAAAGTGTGTTTGGTTGTGTGGTGGCCATTGAGCCGATGTTGGAAAAGCAAGTCCAGTTGTCATTAAGGAAAAATCATTTCAAAGATCAGAGTAATTTATTAGGCTTTCTCTACCGCTTTATGGAAGCAAGGTGTTTTTTTTTTTTCTTCTGTTTTTAAAGTGAGTTCTTTTTTTTTATTCTAGTACATTTTAGTCTTGTTTGAGAGCTTATGAAGTTTACTTCTGAAGTAATTGATGCTGAAACATACTTGGTTCCAACTGTATAGAGTGAACAGTCTAGGATTTAGGAGAATTTTTGCAGCTCTTTAAGGGTCAGAACTTTTTGAGAACTTGGGCAGGACGTAGGCTTCTGCACTGGATAGTATTTAAAACTTTCAGGAGAAAGTAATTTTAAGATGGAGCTGGCCAGCTGTAAGAGAGACTACGTGTGGCTTCCTGGCCTCTAGAATGTTTATGTGTGTATTCCTATGCAAGTTGTCCCTATAAGGAAATACTAGTTGTCAAAATCCTGCTGGGATCTGAGATTAATAAGGCTTGTTTACATCATTTTATACATCGTTTACAATGTTACAATTAATAAAATAATTCCTAGAATTGGCCTCTAATCTTGAACTGGACATATTCTTAAAACACCTTTGGCAGTTTGCACTTGACCAGATTTTATTCAAACTTAACAAGTATATAAATAATAGACTCATAATTGCCTTCTAAGTTAGGTTTTGTATATTAAGGTGTTTTCTATCGTGCGGTAGAGATTATTTCCGGTCACTGAATTTTCAAAATAGAAATTTCTTTTTTGGAAATCAGGTAATGTAATTTGGTTTTTAACTTTTGTCCATGTCATTGGGTACTTTTCACGTTGATTACAAATCCTTTCTAAAAGGCATTTTATTATGTTGAAGCATTCGTGTTAAACCATAATTTTCCCTTAAACTGTTTCGATTGAAGTTTCCCATACTTTAAACAGCAAAAAATTTGGCATTGTTAGGATATTGATAAAAAAAGATGTTTGATGTTCGGCGGAAATCACGTAAAGTCGGTTGGTTAGAAGTTAATGCAAATCTTTATTTCACATTGCTTCTTTTAAAGCGCCTAATTAATTTTGCCCACAATTGGGGCCATGAAGAAAATTGTTTTTTATAAATGGCACAGAGAAAGGGCACCCCGTCAGTTTAACATGGCAACCTCAGGTTTGCATTGAGCATAGATTCATCTGCATTGTAACTTAAAGTGAAGTATGGTTTTAAACAATTTAACCAAGTTTGGAGTCTTGTTTTCGAATCCAAATCTAATACACAAGATTTATTTCAGCCTCAGAGTAGGATTTGGTGACAGTGTTTGGGGTGAAAATATGGCGACTTCTAGTGAAATTACACTGGAAGAATGCTGCCAATATGGCATATGTGCTTTTGAGTTACTTTTTCCAAAAGTGGTTTTTAGATTTCCTTGATAAGCCCTCAGGTTGACGTGCAGCCTTCTTTGTTTCCAATGGCATTTTTTTTTTAGTGGATAGTTAGGATAGGGTAGAGGTCGTTTTGAAGGATGCTTCCATAATACTTTTTGTAGGTTCCTATGAGGATAAAGGTGTTCAGTGGGGGCAATGGGCAATAAAGCGGGAACTTGTGATGGTGATACAAATTAGCTCAGCTTTCTGGACGACTTTGGCATTACTATGTATCAAAGTATGTTCAAGTCCTTTGATTCAGTGTTTTTACTTCTAGGAATTTACCCTAAGGACATAATGAGTATGTGCAAAGATTTGTTTATAGGAATGATTACAATAGTTATTTATGACCATGAAATTTCACAAAGACTCTATGTCTAACATGGGGAAGTTGTTAAGTGAATCATGTAATTCCTAAAAGAAAATAAAAAAGCCACTTTTTTTTTTAAAGAAAAAAAATGTATATATTTGGTGGCATGTAACAACTGAAATGTCTTCACTCCCAGCTCTCGAGGCCAGAAATCTAGAATCAAGGTGTCAGTATTGCCACGTTCCCTCTGAAGTCTGTATGGGAGAATCCGGCTTTGTCTCTTCCAACTTCTGACAACATTTTAATTGAAGGGGTACTTCTCAATGTCACAACATTAAATGACAAGACCAGGTTTAAAAGTTATATGCTGTGTGATGCCAATTCTTTAAAAACAAAAAATCCCCACATATATAAGCCAAGTATTAATTTAAAATGATCTGATTGCTAGATTACAGATAATTTTTGTTTATATACTGTCTGCTGCTTTTCTGTGCTTTCTAAATTTGCTAAAATGAAATGAGAAACAAAGCAACTGAATGTTTCTCTCTGAGGATTTCATTCCATCCCCTTGAGATACCTGCAGGTGTCACAGAGCCATTGGGTTGCTCCCATTTCCTTCGGCTTCGCCTTGCTGCTGGAACTGGGCCTCTTCGTTACCCATGGCCTTTCTTCATAAAGTGTGTGTCACTCATTCCTTTAGCCTGGCTGATTTCTGTCATCTTCAGCTGCTTCCTAGTCCCTTCTTATACGCACACTGCTGGTCCCTCTGATGCCCCAAATCCCTCAGCAGAACTCTGTTCTCCACACAGTAAAGTCCAAACTTGACGTTCAAGTTGCCCTA